AAAAAAAAAAAACGGCTTCGTAAGATCCGCTCCATATGTTTATGTACAGGGAGCAACAGAGCCACCCAGAAGCGTGGGCGCCCAGACTCCGAGGGGACTTGCTCCCGTGGCAGTAAGTCAATCCCGCACCTCGGCACAATGACCAAGAACGACACACCTGACCCCCAAGCGCTCACGGTAGATCCTCGGACGCCGAGGCTGTCATTTATACTGTCTCATCTTGACAGTAGGAGGGGAGGAGGGTGTGATTGTCATCTTCATTTTATAGATAAAAACCACTGACACCAGGAAGGACAGGCTTGCCCAGACACAGTGTGTGTGTGTGTGTGTGTGTGTGTGTGTGTGTGTGTGTGTGGGGCCAGGGCCTGAACCCGGCCGTCAGGCTTCTGCTCCTGGCGTGTGGTTGACTAAATGCTCTGAGAGACCTTAGTGATGCAGAAGCACCATATTCTGGAAAGGACAAGCTTTCTGAGACAGTTCTGGTTTCACGAGAGTTAGGAAAGGTCTGCAGCGATCCTCCCCAAACAAGCAAGCCGATCCACTGAGCTGGGGTCTGTGTGACACGCAGCCGGGATGGGCAGAGGTGCCTGACGAGGCCAGTGGCAGCACTGCTGTCAGGAAACTTCGAGCCAGTCGGAGGTGGGGCAGAGGGGCCCGGGACCCCTAGGCGGAGCCAGTGCCCTCAAGGAGCATCTGGAGGAAAGCTTCCCAGTCCTAATTTAGGTCCGTGGGAATCTTGCTGATTAAGACGACGTTTTGGGGTCACAATCAAAGATCATTAAACACTCAAGAAGATAAGCCACCGAGATGGGAATCGAAGAAACTACAAATAACTGACTTAGACGGCCCCTCCCCAAAGACTGTGTATACTGGAAACGTCAGATACACATTATAGAACAGCTATATTTGAAATGTTCAATGGAATAAAGGACTTGACCACAAAGATGATGAATCAACAAGAAACTCAGACATAGACAGATGGAGCTGGAAAGCCAAGCAAGACCTGGAACTGAAAGTGAAAAGTTCTGAAGTGAAAAGATACAAGCTGATGCGAAAACTGGCTTACACAGTAACATAGAGATGAAGAGAGAATTGAGAAATTGGAAGGTATATCTGAAGAAATGACCCAGAATTCCAACCAAGAGACTAGGAGATAAATGACATGAAGACGTGAATGTGTGAGCTGGGAGGGACAGAACGGGAAGGTATAACTTGTGTTTACTTGGACCAGCTGGAGAGAAGGAAGGTGAGGCAGTGTGTAAAGAGACTACCCTGCAACTTTCCAAGACGTAGCTATTCTTTTCCTAATCTTTAACGTCGTTCAAGAACTGGCAAAAATATAAATCCATAGACTTAAGAAATATAACATATTCCAAGCAGGATAAATGGAAAGAAATCCATGGTGGTAAAAACGCGCAACCCCAGAGACAGCAGATGACGTTAGAAGCCGCTGGAGACAAGGGGCACATTCTGACTAAGGAACAATCATAGGAATTCCGACTTCACAGTGGAATAACACATCCAACACGCTGAAGACTAAAACCCGTCAACCTGAAAGTGTGTACACAGCCAAACTACCTTTCAAGAACAAGAACTGCGAAGGATTACAGATAAACAGAGGCCAAGTGAATTTTCCATAAAAGAACTTCTGAGGAATGTACTTTAAGGAGGAAAGAAAATGACTGCCGAGGGATGGACTGAGATGCATAAAAAATGGTGAACAGATAAAACAGTAAGTGGTATGTAAATCCGAACATACACTGTCCTCACAGGTACTCACGTCTGACTTGTCGTGTTGGAAATAAAGGTCGGGACCAAAATACTCATCAACCATAGCGCGTAAGGCAGGAGGTCTGGGAGGAGTTCAAGTGGTCTAACTATTTTAACTCCTCCTATTTTGCAGGAGAAGGTTTAGGACCTTGTTCAGCTTTAGGCTTTGTCAAGTTACATGTAATCACCAACAGAAGAGAAACAGAGTTTACACGTTTCACAAAATGGAGAGAAAAGCAAACCCAGGTCTTCTGATTCAGAATCCAGGACTCTCTTCCCTAAGTCCGTGCCTGTTTACACAAGCTGTGGGGAGCTGGGAGAGTCCCAGGCCCACCCAGAGGCTGGAGGGCGCTGACACCTGCCGGGCTTGTGTCACAGAGAGCGAGGCCCCGTGCACACACCTGTTGCTCGGGCTGAAGATAAAGAAGGCGCTGGCTTCTGGCATGGGCGCCGCCTTCTCCTTCAGGTGCAGCTCAGAGAGGGGGCGGGGGCGGGGGCCCACGGGCATCTCAGGCTCCTCCTCTTCCTCTCCTGCAAGAAAACAGCACCGCTCTAAACGGCTCCACGGCTCCCGCTTAATTTTTATTTTTATTTTTTTTGCAGCACGCGGGCCTCTCACCGCTGCGGCCTCTCCCGTCGCGGAGCACAGGCTCCGGACGCGCAGGCCCAGCGGCCACGGCTCACGGGCCCAGCCGCTCCGCGTCCCGTGGGATCCTCCCAGACCGGGGCACGAACCCGCGTCCCCTGCATCGGCAGGCGGACTCTCAACCGCTGCGCCACCAGGGGAGCCCCCCCTGTCCTTGTTTTTAAACGGAAATTCCCACATCCCAGGAAACCCTCAGTCCTCTGCAGATCGGGGTGGTTGGTCATCCTGGTTGTCAGGCACCAGCGACAGGTGACCAGATGAGACTGGGGCACTGCCAATTGTCCTCGCCCTTCTGGACTGCAGGCAGGGGAAAGGGCGTGGTTCAGCTGACCTGACACCCCGGCAAACAACCCCATCCTTGAATGTTCCAGGAGTTTAAGTCAACATTCTCCCTATTCCTGAAAATACAAGAAAACACTGTGCTGTAGGGGCAGTCGGGCCGTAATCCTACCGTAACAGGCCCTCCGTCCAAAGGTCTAGACGCCGACACCAGTTACAGAAGCACTTTGTTCTCCAGGCCAGCGGCCACACTGAATGTGGACCACAGGCACACAAGCTCACAGGCCATGGAAGGAAACTGCATACCCTGTTCTTGTCCAAGGTACTCAAAAATGTTTAGAAGGGGATGGAAGTTAGGAGCATGCCTTGATCCAAATCTTGGCTCTGTTTCTTTCTGGCTGTTTAAGTTAGTGTCTCTGTGCCTCAGTTTCCCCATCTGTGAGATGGGATAATAGCACGTATGTACCTCAGAATGGTGTTATTACACTCTCCACCCATGGCAGACACTCCAAGACTGTAAATTAGTGTCTAGCATCTTCCTCAGTCTGTCTGCTCTTTGCCTGTTATTTCCCGACAGACTTTCCACTCACATCAAACTGTTCTCTAAACACTCACTGTAGTGGGTTGAATAGTATCCCCCCCAAATCCATGCCCACCCAGAGCCGCAGGATGTGACCTTATTTTTTATTTTCTTAAATATGGAACGCTTCACAAATTTGCGTGTCATCCTTGCGCAGGGGCCACGCTAATCTTCTCTGTATCATAGTCCAATTTTTAGTATATGTGCTGCCGAAGCGAGCCCGTGAGCTTATTTTGGAAGATGCACCTTTGCAGATGTCATTAGCTGTGGCGCCGTCGCGGTGGACGAGGGTGGGCCCTCGTGCCGGGGACTGTTGTCCTCGTAAGGAGACACAGGGAAGGAGGACGGAGGCAGAGATGGGGCTGAGGCTGCAACAGCCGAGGAGCTGGAAGGCACTGCGCTGGCCGGCAGAGTGGGGCCTCCCCAGAGCCGCTGGAGGGAGCTCGGCCCTGTTGGCGTCTCGGTGTCGGGCTTGCAGGCTCCAGAACCGTGAGACGGTGAAGTTTTGTTGCTGGAGCCCGTGTCCGGGGGCTCCGGGAAGGTGGCTCCGCTCTCTCCCTGCATGACCGGCCCGTCAGCCCCCCCGCAGAGCTCAGACAGCACCTCCGCCTGGCCTTCCTGAGTCCCTGCGCCCAGGAAGGACCTTCCTGTGAATCCCAGCAGCACCTCCGGCCTCCCACACCCACCTGGCACTTGGGACAAAAACGCCTCGGATGCGTGACTTTAAATGCGCCTGGTTCCATCTCTTCATGTGCTGAAAGCCGTGCAGAGAGAAACCCCCTGGCACGTGGAAGCCTCATTTCCTGGGGATGATTTAACAACACTGGCTTTATGAGGAAGGGGACTGTGCAGGAGGTCCGGTGGAGAGATGGCTCTGGGCAGTGGACCTCGTGGACCAGCCACAGGTCTGTGCTCCCTCCCCCCATTACCACAAAGCCAGGTGGGGCGGAGCAAAAGCGCCTGGCACAGAAAGCGGTTCTTTATCAAGCAAGAGGCAAACAAGGACCCAAGGCTTCTCTGGAGGACCAGCAGATCACAGGCACAGATTAGACTCCCTCCCTCAAGTAATTAGAGCTGACCGGCAGGCAATGAATATTTTCAGCAGAAGAGGGGCACACAATAGAAGATGGTGTCCAGGAGGGGCTTGAAGCTTCCTAACTAACCTTGGCAGGGTCTCCTATTAAAGCAAAATCAGTGAAGCCAGAGTGGGCTTACATCATGGCATCTATACGTGGGATTTAACTGGAGGGGTTCAGGCCCCGCCTGGCTCTGTCCTCTTTCCAGTTGTGCTCTAAATGACCCAACACTTCCTTATTCAGGAATATCTGAGAACAGGTAATTGAATGCTTATTTAATCACCTGTGTTTATAGAAAAACACGTTTGCCGGGTTTGTGCGCCTCTAAGGTCCTCGTGGAGAATCGTGGGCACTCTTTTGTCCTGCGAGCAACGTTTAAGAGGAAACTACTGCGGAAGGACAAACCAAACTTGTAAAGGGTCAGAAGGTTGCCAGCACATGATGCTTTGCATGTACGACGCATGAGGAGAGAGGTGGCGGAACAGGGGAAGTCAGGTAGAGCTCCTTCTGGGGTGGGCAGCCAACCGCCCAGACGCCCGATGCCCGTGGAACCCCTCGGTGCTGTTTTCTCATCACAGCTCTCACAGCTCTCACAGAAGCGGGAAAGCAAGGG